GGGGGGGGTGGCTGTATCGTCCCCAAACCGGGTGTCTGTGGGGGAGGTGTGCGTCATTTGCAGGCAAAATTTAAGCTGGACCATCTGGCGCGTATGGGGCCGTGGTGGGGGTAAGAGGGCCGGGATGAGGGCAGGGGGCCAGGCAGATTGAGGCAGTCCTTTCCCTTGGGTAGAGACGCTGGGCCAGCAGCCGGGCAGGAGGGTCCTGGGCTGGAGCGGCTGGAGGAGTTGGCAGCTCCTGACACCCTTCAGCATCCATCAGGCGCTCCCCTGGCCCGGCTGCCCAGCAGTGCCGTGCTGGGTGCCATGTCTGGGGTAATTGCTGCCTTGGAGAGGGGAGCAGGCAGGGAGGCTTCAGCAGGAGGGAGCATCTTCTGTGGGGACAGTGGGTGAGTGGGAAACAGGAGGACAGTGTCAGCTCTTGCAATGGAGAGTCATCGCTGGGGCTGCTCACCCAGCTGCTCATTTACTGAGCTCAGTAAATGACTGGAAGGGGGATGAGTAGTCAAATAGCATGAGGAGAGAGAAGCCAGCCATGGCTCATCTCCGAAGAGCTGTGGGAGATGGAATCAGCAGGGAAATGGCTGGTGAGGTTCAACGTGGGTATGCATGGAGTGGGGTGGCTGTGTGTAAAATAATGCAGTCTGGGGCTCGATGGGATCCAGGCTTCACAAAATTGCAGGTTTAGGGTAGGAGCTAACAACGGGTGAGGTCATGGGGTGATGCTTCAGCTCTGCCCAGCCACGCTCCCAAAATAAATCAAATGTGGCCAAACCAGGCAGGCCCTTGTCCTCCTGTGGAAACCCCTGAGCCACCCCTGCCTTGAATCCCACCTGTGGGGCTGGTCCTGCTGCTTGGACAGGGACGGTGGGATGGTGGAGGAGGAGGAGAGCTGGCCCAGCATCCAGGAATGAGAGGCCAGGCTATGTCAGCCAGGCAAGAGGCAGCAGGTCATAGAGCCACAGGTTGGAAGGGGCCCGGGGAGGGCTCTTGTCATCCCCTTCCCGTTGGGAGCAGGTTGGGGCAAGATGCCCGGCATAGCCTGGACACCTCTGAGGAGAAGGCCCTGCTCCTTAGGAGGTGACGGGGTAGACAGAGAGTGTGGACTCTGCCAGAGGAGGGACGGGTCCCTGCAGCCCCCTGGCGCAGCGCCCCGGGCCGACCCCCTGAGCTTGCTGCACGCACACAGCCCCAGGCTGGGACAGGGCACGGCCGGCGCTCTCATGGCTCCTGGTCTGCTCACCGCCACTTGCTTTGCACAACTTCACAGCGCTGTTCATAGCTTCCACGGCAAGGACAAAGATGGGAGCACAGCTCCACCTGTTTATTGATGAGTGGTCACCGTATTGCCTGCCAGCCCTGGCAGTGCCACCTCCGGGGGCTGCAGCCAGTGGGGCAGAGGCTGCCTGGGCTTGCTCGGTCCTGTGGCATCATGCTGCTCTCAAAACTTGCTCCACCGTCTGGGGACCCTGTGGTGCTTGGCCCTGCCATGCGCCCTCCTGCCAGGGTGGCTCTGCGTCATCCCAGCCAGGCAGGGTGCTTGGTGCCATGGTGGGGTCCGGTCCTGCAGCCACCCCAGGGACCCCGGCATGGTCGCAGCAGCACTGCGGGGGGCTGAGATCCCACTGCAGCCTGTCCCCATCACGCTGCCCCCACCGGCTGTTGGCACATGAAATGGGGATGTTGGTGGGGACAGGGTGGAGGGAGGCAGGCGCGAGGCTGTGCAACCATCCCGGCAGGCTCAGCGGATACTGGCAGGGAAGAGCTGTGCATGAGACATTGGTCCCAAAGCATCGCCCCGATGCCATCTTTGTCCCCAGGTGTGGGTGGCAGGGTCAGGCCAAGCCCCACACTTCCAGGTCCTGGACACAGAACTCCTCCCGGGCTGAGAGGGTCTCGTTGTCGAAGGTCTCACAGGGGTGGCTGCCCCCGTGGTGCAGGTCTCCATCCAGCCACAGCCCAAATCTACCACTAGGAAGGTGCCAACGACATGATCAGCTGGGGGTCCCCTCTCCTGCCTCCTCCATGCCTGGACACCTCCCAGCCACCTCCTGGGGGACGAGCCACATCCCCGTCCCCACTCCTGGGTACCCTCCTGCTAAGGACACCAGGCACAAGGGACAGGCAAAATGAGGATGAGACAGGACAAGCAGTCACCCCTGGGGCTGCCCCCCTGCCTGCAGGCAGGGAGAAGGCAGGCCTGCCGGCAGCCTGGTCAGGGGGATGAAAGGACCAGTGCTACTGGACAACCTCCACAGGTGTTTTTGGGTTCAAACCACAAGCACGTGCCTGGACCCGACTCCACAGGGCAGCCTAGGCTCAGATTGTGGCCCTGATGGCCACCAGGGCTGGGGACCCCATGGGCTGCCAAAGCTGCTGACGTGGCTCCTACCTGCCCCCACCGAACATCAGCAGGTCCACATCCCCCTTCATGAAGAAGTTGTTCCTGCCCGTCCACCTGAACACCTGCATGGGGACAGCAGTCGTCTGGGACTGTGGGCTGGGGCACAGTGTCCCCATCCCCATCCCTGTCCCTGTCCTGCAAGGGACAGCTGGGGGCTGCTGAGCAAAGCTGGCTCTGCCCGTCCCCGCCATGTCCTGCTTCTCCAGAGGAAGACCTCACCAAGCCTGTGGGCACCATCCTGGTGCTGGCCTATCCCTGCCAGCAGCCCTGGGGGCTCCCCCCTGGGGGACGGCTGCCACCCACTGATGCCACCAGCAGTGTTGCTCACTGATGCCACCAACCCCATCACACACACATGGACCTCCGCTGGCACAGGCAGATGTGGCTGAGCTGCCTCCCCATCGTGCCGACGCTGGGCTGTGACTGCCCTGGCATGCGGAAGGGTCCCTGGTGATGCCCGGCTGGGCAGCATCCACCTTCCTGAGCGCCCCCCCCTTCCCTGCACGGCTGGCTGGGATTTGCCTTCTCTGCCCCAGCCCTGAACAAACTCGGGGGACTACAGCCGGCAG